TTTAAGTACCTGAAATTTACCAAATTGGCCTAAGTTCAAATTGTCCCTGGGGCCAGATTATGGACTGGATAAGGTGTTGCAGGTTAAAACTGAATCTTGACAAATGAAAGAGTTTGGTGGCTGGGAAAAAGCTCAGCCTTTCAGAAGGGACCCTTTTTTTTTTTTGCTCTAGTTATGATTTATTTATGTCCCTTCCTGGAAAGATCTGATCTAGCTACCAATATCCATGGGTTTGTACCATCTGATTGGACTGTTGTAATCCATTTGGTGAAAGGACGGATGCCCTTGAAAAATGAGCCAAGCTGTCAACTGGATTCAAGTCTGAGCATGTAATGACTAAGCCATGTTGGTCCCCAGTAGGTTTATGCTCAAATGTCATTAAAATCCCTAAATGTTTTAGAATGACTTCCTCTTTAAATAGTTACCTGGGAACTATGTTCCTCTGATAAAAGGCTTTTGAGTATGCCATCTTGGACAGAGAGTTACCGTCAGTTATAAAGGTCATGGACTTTTTGGCGGCGGCTCCAGTGCTATGAAGTTCCCTTCCATAAAAGTGCAGACTGATGCCACTTTAGGACGTTTAGGAAAAATATAAACACTCACTTTTATCTCTTAGACTTTATTGTGTTTATATGTTCCTAGATTTTACAAAAATGACACTCAGTGGTTTACAATGTAAAAATGTGAGATTCCCCTAACTCAATATTAAATACTTGATTCTTGCCGAACCTTTAACCTAGATAAACCCTGTTACTAGCATTTTGAGTTTGTGCACCCTTCTGTGAAATGATGGTTATAGATGATCCTCTCTCCTGCAGAGTTTGACGACCCTTCTGCCATGCTGGTACTGGCAGAAGAAGAACTAGTAGTAATAGACCTGAAGTCTCCTGGCTGGCCATCTATCCAACCTCCGTATCTTGCATCTCTCCACTGCTCGGCCATCACATGTTCTCACCATGTCTCCAACATTCCTCTAAAATTGTGGGAAAGGATCATCAATGCTGGGAACAAGCAGAACGTTCAGTTTTCTAATATGGTATGAATTGCATATCCTAGTGAAATAAGGATGCATTTGAAGTAGATGCAGATTGTGATTGTTTTTCTCCTGGATTTTGAATGACCTCAAATAAGACTTTGGAGGTACAAAGTATTCCTGCTTCTAAGGAAATATAGGAGCAAAGGGGGAAATGGCCGTCTCAGCACCAGTTCCATTTGTTAAGTTGTATGGAACCTACTTGATTGACATCAGGGGACAAATAAGAGTATAAGTTGAATTAGTGATTGTGAATAATCCTGCCATGGTGATAAAGTACTCTTTGCTAGTACTAATATAATGTAGCAGAAGCTTGAATCCAGCACTTACCTGCTATTCGTTAAAGCAGCTGCATTATTTTTCGGGGAGGGGGAGCTTGCTACAGTATTCCTGGAAATAAGGACAATAAGGACGCTTAAATTGGGTCGGAGACAGGTGCTTCATTTGGCCTTCTCCATAGTTTCCCCAAATCAATTCCAAAATATTGCATCGCTCACTAATGAAATTATCAGTGGATAATTTTAGCCACAAAACTGTCCAAGAGTTTGTTGTTATGTGGAAAGCTAGTTTTCCCACTAACTCTAATACAGGTAGTCCTCGACTTATAACCACAACTGAACCCAACATTTTCATTGCTAAACAAGACAGTGGTTAAGTGAATTTTGCCCCATTTTACGACCTTTCTTGCCACAGCTATTGAGTGAATCATTGCAGGTGTTAAGTTAGTCACACGGTTGTTAAGTGAATCTGGCTTCCCCATGGACTTTGCGGGTCACAAGATCGCAAAAGGTGACCACGTGACCCAGGGATACTGCGACCGTCATAAATATGGGTCAGCGGCCGAGTGTCTGAATTTTGATCACGTGACCACGGAGATGCTGCGATGGTTGTAAGTGTGAAAAAAGGTCATAAGTCACTTTTTTCAATGCCGTTGTAACTTCAAATGGTCACTAGATGGTTTGTGAGTTGAGACTATCTGTAGTGATTCCTTTGCTTTTTTGTATGCCACTCTTGTATGTCATGCAGTGAAGCTTAATCTTCCTCTTTAGCTAAAAGTAACCGTATCCTGTAATTATAGTAAATCTTGCCCAATTGTATAGTTACCTGCTTATAGGATTTTTAAAATTTCAGGTTAAATTTCTATTATTCTCAAGCAAATCAGGGTCAGATTTCATTAGCACTCAAGAGTGTGAAAGTTAAGATTTGCTGCCAGCCTGGAAGATGCATAATGGGTTGCATGAACCAGCCCTACCTGCTGTTACTGATCTCTGTCATATCCACGTTCCTCAGTCCTGTATAACAGCAACCCTGTTATAAAGATATTTGCATAGCATAGAAGAAGGGAGACTCTGAACATGTATTGATGGGATTTGTGTTCAGCCCCAGTCCATCCTCACATGGAAAAATTGTACATGAGTGCACGCAGTCATACATGCATGGAGTCATTTCAGATAAACAAGTGGTTGATGGCTTTTAATTGCTTTCTGCTACCAAGTCTTTTATTCTGTAAATACATCGCTGCCCATAAACATTTGTGAACTCTCCTCCCACAATTTCTCTCTTCCCTTTTCCCAGCCCTGGCCAATTAATGGGGGTATCAGCAAGGCTCCAGATCCTCCCCAGCGGGATTTACTGCTCACTGGGTAGGTATAAGCATGCAAATTCACTCTTGGCTTTTTTTACTCCTGTAGAAACAGTAATTCGTCACTGCCTCATTCCTTTCTGCTTAGTCTGTAACAAGCAGTCAATAGAAAACGAGGGCCATAACCTTTGCAGCAGTAAATGAGATGCCAATCGTTTTGGAAATGACCATTTAGTATTACAGGCTTTAAACTGACTTTCTGAACACTCCATTTTTAAAACAACCTTTTAACATATAAGTAAACAAGTGAGCTAGGATGCTACAGGTGATCTAATCCTGCATGCTCTGCACATTAAGTAGCCTCATATGGCTGCTTTTTCTATCTGGAATTTTCAAAAGAGAAAAAATGTTCTAAAAAGATTTTCAGGATTCTTGTGTAAATTCCTGGTAAGATTGTACTTAAAGATCCAGACACTTTGCCAGTTAAGTTAAAGAGAGATATTTGCATGCAAGAGTTGACATATGGTAGTCCTGAAATCCAAATGGTACTGGTGCTCTGGAATAATTACGGCTGCTGTTTCTGGAATATGATACTTCTTCGCCAAACCTCACTTAACCAATTAGGATACAAATCCATTTCTGATGTACTGCTGTAAGCAGTAAAATGGGAACAGATCAGTCCTTATCCCACAAATATATATATATATATATATATATATATATATATATATATATATATATATATATATATATATATATATATATATATATATATATATATATATATATATATATATATATACACACACACACACACACACACACACACACACACACACACACATGGAGTATGCATTTCTGTGTATACATACACATGTGTAATACCAACATGTTAACCACATTCATTTTTTAAAAAATAGCTGTGGTTTACATAGGTTTCCTATACCTATCCTGCATAAATCTGGAGGGTAACAAAGAGTTCAAGAATTTTGTAGCCGTAATTTAAGAAATGAAAATGGAGGAGGAGTAGAACTGGAGAGAGGAGGACTGATAACTCCAGGTACCAATTATTTAAGAGCTGTGTAATGATTAGACAAGAGTAGTAACCATGGTGGGGAAGGATAGCCCGAGACTGGTAAGCCAAAAGTGGACTGATAAAACATTCGATTGTTTAGGTCAATTTATTCCTTTTATATTTGATTTACTAAGTTGAGCAATGAAAGAGAAGCTACTTTAGAACGTTCATTGGAAAGAAAAGCCCCTTTCCAGGTAAATATTCCTTAATAAATTTGAGAACTAGTGGAAACAAATATGGATAGAACATAGCTACCCTACTTTTTAGTGTTGTTTAGTGAACTAACGAGGAGCCGGCAAGCATCCTCAAAAGACTTGCTGCTAGGCACCTCCAGTCTGATGTGACCAAGATGTGACCAAGGCAGATCTTCTTTTTGCACTAGACAATGGAAAGATCAGCTCTGTATAGGTTTAGGCCAGTGATGGCGAACCTTTTAGAGACCGAGTGCCCAAACTGCAACCCAAAGCCCACTTATGCATCGTCGAATGCCGGGTGGGTGTGGCCCATTGGGTGGGCGTGGCTGCAGTGGTAATGACAGACTGGGTGGGACTAAAAAGTTCAATCAATCAATTCCAACTTTCCAAGATCTTTTTTTTTTCTGCAAGAAGTTGAAATTGACTGATTGATTGAACCTTTTTTTTTTTTTGCACATGGCGGCGGAGGCCTAAAGCGAAATTTTTTTTATAAAACCCAGCTGAAGGCCTAGGACTGGGGCAACGGCACGCATGCCCACAGAGAGGGCTCTGAGTGCCGCCTCTGGCACCCGTGCCATAGGTTCGCCACCACTGGTTTAGGCTGTACACACACACACACACACACACACACATATAGGCTCAGTGTGCACTTGATGACATTCTTCCCCAGTCTGATGACCTCCAAGTGGTCTTGACCTGCAATGACACAGATGTCTAGTTAAGCATGCTGACTAGAGATTATGGAACTGAAGTCTAAATTGTCTGGAGACACCAGGTAGGGAAAGGTTGCCCTACAAAAGTTTGCCAGAACTGCTTCGAGGTGCACGCAGCGAGATCAGCGTGAAAAGGGTATTTTGCATAATTAAAGTTTTGTAAGCCTACACAAATAGCAAGAGGAAATTCAGCTTATTATTTTTTTTTCATTAATACTTAGTATGCATTGACTAAAATGCTTCCACCAGGCTAGCCTCGATTAAGGAGCAGCCAGTCATCCAGCATCTCTCTTGCTTAGAAATCAGGGAGTGATTCTGGTATAACCTGCCTTTCTGCTTTGGGCTCAGGCACGAGGATGGCACAGTGCGCTTCTGGAATGCATCTGGTGTGTGTCTGAACCTCCTGTATAAACTGACCACAGTGAAGGTGTTTCTCACTGATGCAGATCTCAATGACAATATGAACCAGCTGGGAGAGGATGAATGGCCTCCACTGCGCAAGGTAAGCAGCCGTAACCTCCTGAAGCCAAAGCTTGCTCCCTATTTATCTACTTTCAAAGAAGTGCTCTCTTTGCAACTATAGGATATATTTTTGTGCTCAAGTGGCATTTGTTGCTTCTTTCTCTGCTACATTAGGTTGGCTCCTTTGACCCTTATAGCGATGACCCCAGACTTGGGATCCAGAAGATCTTCTTATGCAAATACAGTGGCTATTTAGCTGTAGCAGGGACAGCAGGACAGGTACTAATAGGATTAATGTATCAAATGGATTTGGATGGGCTATTGTAACTTAGAGACCCGGGCTTTCACACTGCGATACAATTATCCTTAATTAGACCGAGCTGTTAGATTGTCTCTATTATCCTAACAATTTCAGGATTGTGGAAACTGGATGCAATCAATTCCTGCTCAGATACTGTGTCCTTTTTGTGTTGGTTCTGGCTGAAAAGTGGGTTCTCGGACAATGGTCTCTTCACGCGTGTTACCCCTTTATTAAAGGTATGAGATCGTTCGGTTTAGAAGAATCGTCAGGAAGACGTACGTTACGTGTTAAAAACGGTAAATGAGTTGTACACCACAGGGGATTATGTCGATGTTAATGTTCATTAGGAGTGAATTACTGGGGTTGTCTCTGGTCTTATAGGTAATGATTTGTTTCGTCAATAATCTACTTTATTTACATGACCGGATTGCTTAGCAACAGCAGTTTTGGTAGTCCTGGCTGCAGTTCATTAGGCTAGGACTATGCCATTGTTAGGTCAGGAACTCACACTTCTCCTGTCCTGCCATGCTCATATCCTGTTCAGCTCCCCCCCACCTGTCTCCCCCACTTCTCTGCCTTTTTGACCGCTCTGCACTCCATTGCTCCTCCCTCTGTAACCTCCAGTACCTGCTGACCATCACTAAAGCCGAAATAACGAAATAAATAACAAGTATACAGTCAGAATAAAAACATGAAACATGATGGTGAATCCAACTAGCAACACATATATCATACACTCTCAGCAAGAGGCTCCATCCAGACTAGCCCAAAATGTGGGGAAAGACTCAAGCCCAGAACACAATCAGGATGAGAAATTTCAGGGGAACCTCCTTCCGGAGGGCAAGCACCATGAGAGTGGAGGCACACTTCCACGATGCCAATAGATGGCATTTTTGAATCAGATAAATCCAAAGGAGGTCAACTAGGACAGACAACATAGGAGATGGCAAGTAAAATATCAAGTAACCAGTAGATGGTCTTTTTTTGAAAGAAATCCAGAATGCATCAACTAGGCTCTATCATGTAGGGCTTTATAGATTATAACCAACATGTTGAGTTGCACCAGGAAGCTAACCAGCAACCAGTGCAGCTTGCAAAGTTAACCAGCCCAGTGCAGACATACAGTTAGATGTACTTGGTGTGTAAATGATGTGTCATCTACTATATATTTGAGCAGGGAAGGCCAGTTATTACAAATAAATCACATATGCATCTATTTTGTTCTGAAGTGCATTCCCGTAGATACAAATTTGCTTTTAATGTCTCTGTTGGATTTTCATTGAAATATATTACATCAATTAGATTCCTGCTGGAAGGATTTTAAAAACTGATAGCAGTAGCAATAGCACTTAGACTTATACACCGCTTCATAGTGCTTTACAGCCCTCTCTAAGAGGTTTACAGAGTCAGCATATTGCCCCCAACAATTTGGGTCCTCAGTTTACCGACCTCAGAAGGCGAGACAGCTGAGTCAACCTTGAGCCAATGAGACTTGAACTGCAGGCAACTGGCAGTCAGCAGAAGTAGCCTGCAATACTGCATTCTAACCACTGTGCCACCATGGCTCTAGAGCAGTGTTTCTCAACCTTGACAATTTTAAGGCATGTGGACTTCAACTCCCAGAATTCCACAGCCAGCAATGCTGGCTGTGGAATTCTGGGAGTTGAAGTTCACATGCCTTAAAATTGTCAAGGTTGAGAAACACTGCTCTAGAGTTATTTAGGCATTGACTGCAAGAAGCATTTGTACTGATTTGCCAAATGGTGTTTTTTTGATGGTTAGCCCTTGGCCCAGTCTCCATAAACATGAAGGTAGCAGCTTGTCATGCTCAAGTAATTTTACAAATGATTGTTCTTTTACTGTTTTTTAAAGGCTGTCATAAAATGAATATCAGCAAGCAGCTGGAGTGGCACTTTCTATACATGTAAAAATCTCCTGTTGCAGTGCTGGACAAAATCTTAGACATCTTACACAGAGCTCCCAAAGCATAATTTTCCAAATGTTTAGCTGTTTTTCTTGTTCTTATTGGTCATAGTATTGTAAGCGTTCCCCTAAAAGCTGCATGTGCATAAACAAGATGTTAACAGCTTCTTTACTACCAGAAAAGACTTACATCTTGCTTCTATTCTATTTGGACTCTTTGGGTGTTAAAGCAACATCCTTTTGTTGGATTATGTCCCAAAATAAATGTGATGGTTGGAATTCCCTGCCCCTACGGAGGAAAATGAAAACAAAACAGTCTGAAAAATAAATGAAATGGTGAATTGTTTTGCGCTGGGAAAAGCTCAAAGGAGGAAGTATATATAATGTGGGATTTGCAGTATCGAGATTTCACAGGGCAGCTCTGAATGAAATCTATCTCCGTCTGAAGGTCCTTGTCATGGAACTGAACGATGAAGAAGCAGAACAAGGGATTGATCACGCAGAAGCAGACTTTCTCCAGGACCAGGAAGGCTACAAGTGGAAGGGTCACGAACGCCTGAAAACTAGGGACGGGCCTGTCCGGTTTGAGCCAGGCTTTCAGCCATTTGTCCTGGTCCAATGTCAGCCTCCAGCAGTCGTCACATCACTGGCCCTTCATTCAGAATGGAAACTTGTGGCCTTCGGTACAAGCCATGGGTTTGGGCTGTTTGATCATCAGCAGAAGCGGCTGGTTTTTGTGAAGTAAGTTGCTTTCTGGGGAAGAAGATATTTAAGAGAGGGCTTATGTGACATGCTTGGTATATAGCTTCTAAAGCTTTTCTGGAGCATTGTTATGTTTTCAGTTCTGGTTTTACTATCTTTTTTTTTTTTTTTTTTTACATAATGAGCTGGAGGTTTTGCAATGAAATCTAACCCAGGCAGGGAATGGTTTGGTCACCGAGTCCCAGTTTTTTACATTCCTGGAGCTCTTTTGAGCTGCACTACCATATAGCAGCAGTATGGCTGCTTTTAATTTGGAGGTGAGAAGTAAGACTTAGAAGTTTAACCTAACTGTGAAAACGAAAAGCCCACCCCACAAAACCTACTTATAATCCTGTTGCTATCATAAATGGGCACTATGCAGCCTTGCCTGGTTAGCATTGCTCTACCTGCTTCAATCTTAGCTTCCCCAAACTGTTAAATGGGACTATAGGTTAGTCCTCGACTTACAACAGTTCATTTAGTGACCGTTCAAAGTTACAATGGCACTGAAAACAGTAACTTATGACCATTTTTCACAAAGTCGTGTGATCCCCTTTTGCAAGCCTTCTGATAAGCAAAGTCAATGGGGAAACCAGATTCACTTAACAACCATGTTACTATTTAAACAACTGCAGTGATTCGTTTAACAAATGGGGCAAGAAAAATTATAAAATGGGGCAAAACTCACTTAACAAATCGCTCCCTTAGCAACATACATTTTGGGCTCAGTTGTGGTCGTAAGCTGAGGACTAACTGTACTAGCCATCAAAACATTGCTCACTCCTGATTTAGGTAAATCATTATCCTCCTTGTTGTCCATTCAATTAGTTGTAATTTGGACCCGGCACCTGAAGAATAATAGGAAAAGTATCAAAGAGTACATCTGTATAGTTAGATGGAATTCTCTGGGCAAGCTATTGAGAAGAATCCTGTTCCCCTAAATCCTACAAACAAGCTCCAAATAGTTCAGATGCAACATAGATACAAAATGTACCACATGGGTCCCAGTCCTGACTAAGGGAGAAGAGGGTTAATACCATTCTAGAACACTTCTAGAATAGGTGGAAACTCTGCTGCTTCTAGCAGTTTCTCTGGCAAAACAAAAGCAGAGCCCTCCTGTCTATCAGAGATTGCTAGGTGGGGAGGTGTTGAGAGGAGGATTCTTTATGAATTTAAGACTGGTGTTCCATTGGAAGGATAAGATAATTTATCTGAAGTTACTATAAATCAATCAGTCAGAATAGAGCTGGAAGTGACCTTGGAGATTCCACTGGCTAATTGTCCTCACTGTCTGTTAGGAAGTTTCTCCTTAATTCCAGGTTGCTTCTCTTCTTGATTAGTTTTCATCCATATTAATCAGCTATATAATTTTAAAACACCAGGTCAGTTTGGCATGGAAACTAATCAGTTGTGTTGATTGAGAGAAGGGCTTCCAATATTTTTCCAGCATGTTGGTTGTAAAGAATAGCCAATCTTGGCATAGAGAAGTATATCAAGTGCACAGTTTAGAATTTTGAATGAAAAAAAAAATGTCCCAATGCCCTGATATTAGAGCACATGCTACTGGCTTCGTTCTAGGTGCACCCTCCATCCTAATGATCACCTGGCCTTAGAAGGCCCGCTTTCCAGGGTGAAGTCCTTAAAGAAGTCTCTCCGCCAGTCCTTCCGCAGGATACGAAGGAGCAGAGTGTCAAATCAGAAGCGGCCAACGGCCCAGGTGAGACAATGCATCACATAGTTGTAACCCTTTGGCTTCACATCGTTGTAACCCCTTTTTTAAATGACAGGCCAATGGTGAATCTTGATATTGCCTTCCCCTGGCCCTGACATGGAAGAAGACATTGTAAGGAGAAAAGAATGAGATTCAAACGGGAATGTTGCTTCTGAGTGAAGTTGAATTGGGTTCTTGGATTAGTAGAAAGGAAAAATTCTTTCTTTCCCTTTTGCCATTTCAAGAAATACATGCACTCAGAAGATAGTCCATTCAGAAGTCTTCAATTTATTTACAACAGGGATCTTGATGCCTGGATTATTATCCAGCAGTCTGGTTTCATTTTATAAGACCCAATTGACTCTTTTACATAAGGACTCTATGTGTTCTCAACTATTAGATTAGTAAAAGTGGAGTAGCAGCATCATAATCTGAACAGTTTTCCTTGTTTGACAGCTGCAAAGGGTGATATTCAATGGTTACTTGTTTTTTCCCCCCTATTTGACAATGCAGGAGGGAATTTCCAGGCATCACCGCGATGCATTACAAGAAATTGAATTAGCTCCAGTCCAACGAAAGATTGAAGCACGATCAGCAGAGGACTCTTTCACGGGCTTCGTGCGCACCTTATATTTTGCTGACACCTTCCTAAGAGACAGTAAGTAAGAAAGACTTCCCCTTTGAAGACTTGCCATGTGTCTCTGCTCAGAGAACAAATAATGGTTAGTAGAGAGCATTAATCACTTCCTGGTCATCATTGGTTAAAATCTAACTCTTCACCAATGCCTGCAAAACACACATGAATGCATGGGTCACTTGAGTCTTTATAACTGGTCACTACAATTGGCTGGAAACAATTACGGTTTTCTGACATTAATGAAATATGCTCTCCTCTAGATAAAGGTTTTAGAAAGTGAGTCTTCCAAGTATTTCAACATGTTTGTTAGTTTTGGATCAGGAAATATTGGTTAAAAGGAAAAGAATACTCCACACTCCTTTAATGAATCTAAACAGCAACATGTACACATTCATCCATGCACATACATCTGTACACTAAATATAAAATCACCTGGAGTAGGCACACTGTTTAGTGTTTGCCATTTATTCAAGATGCAGAATTTCTAGAGCAATTTTTTAGAAGCTGAATAATAAATCGTTAAGAAAAGTAATATTTGCTTTGATGAGGAAGGCATTTGTGGCCGTCAAGTTTTGGGCTGTTTAATTCAGTGAAAAAAATGGCATGTTTGTATATACTTTTACAAGCAACATGGAATGTGAAAAAAGGGCTACATGATGGCTTTCTCCATAGCAACCTACTATATAAAAGAAAATGCTACCTCTTGGATTCAGAGGCTGCATGAATTAGAGTTGTTGGACAACAGATGTTAAAAGAAAGAAATACTGGATTAAGCACATTTTTATCTGATTCATTAGGGCTGTTTGGATGTACAGATTCTGGTCCAGGCTCATAATTGTCTCCATTTTTTCAGTTCTCTTCACATTATCACCAATGCTAGGAATGTAAAGATTTTTTAAGAAAGCATTTAGACCACATTATTCATTGTGTCTTTGAGCTGGACTGGACTAGACATTGGAGATCTGAGCCCAGTGTGAACAAAAAAAACCACCATTGTTTTTCATCACTTGCTACGCATGAGAATTTCACTTTTGAGTTCTGTTACTCCTTTTCAGGTTCTCGGCACAGTCCTTCTTTGTGGGCAGGTACCAATGGGGGCACAGTGTACGCTTTCTGCTTGCGCATTCCTCCAGCAGAGAGAAGAACGGATGAGCCTGTGAGAGCTGAGCAGGGTGAGTGAGACACATTGATGAACTGCATTTAGGGTTGACGGATGTGATGATCTTATCCATTCTACCGTAAAGAGCTAACGCATGACATTGGCCTTGAGGGTGATGAGCTCATAGTGTAACAGAAAATCAGAAAACTACTTTGGTGGGTATTTTACCAGCCCTTAGATATTTGGTGAATGGATGTGCAGTCTCTGATGATTTGTGTAGTATTTACCCTGTTTCCCCAAAAGTAAGGCCTACCTTGAAAATAAGCCCTAGCTTGATTTTTGGGGGTGGGCCTAATATAAGCCCTACCCCCAAAATAATCCCTAGTTTGGGGGGTGAGGCACACACCTAAAAATCAAGCTGGGGTGGGGATGTGAAGCTGCCCCACACGCCTATCACCCACTCATCTTGCAGCCGGGCCTCTCCTCGCTAGCCCACTTCTTCTGTGGCGTTTTCTGCAGCCAGGCCTGCATTTCTCAGTCACAGGTCTTTCCGGAAGGCCACTACAGCCGAGAACTGAGCTAAGGATTGAATCCATAGCTCGGTACTCGACTGCACAGGCCTTCCAGAAAGGCCTGACTGCAAAATGCAGGCTGGAATGCAGCTGCCGAATGAAGCTGTTCCTTTGGTCAGAAGAAGTGGGCCGGCTGAGCGGGGCTGTCGGTGCCAGAGTTGAGTATAAAATCCCACTCAGGTGGCACTGATGATGTTACCTAGTTTGGGTAATGAAACATCTGCAAAAAAACGAGCTCAGAGAGCAACAAGAGCTCCTCATTAGCCCTGATATTATCAAACTTCTTCTTTTCAACCATAATCATATCTGATGTGTTGTGAGCCAAGACTTTTATTAGTCTGTATTCGAAAATCCCACTTTTTTAACCTATTCATTTTCAACTACTTTTTCAGCTCTATTTTCCCACCAATTTTTCATTAATGATACATCATATTTTTACAGGTGTTCAGTAAGTCATTTTGACATAACATTTTGGTGTTATGACTTTGTTTGTAATCAGTTTGTGCAATCTTAATTGCATAAGCTGAGTATATAATATATTTCTTGATGATGATGATGATGATGATGATGATGATGATGAAGATGATTTTCAGAGAAAATTATCCAGTAGTTCCCCTTTGAACATTATATGCTATTTATCAGTGCTAAACAATTGTCCAAGCTTTAAGGTTTTGCCCATTTATCAATTTTTAATTCTTGCATTTTTATTACAATTATCTTATCTTTCTAATATGGAGCTCAGAGCAGTATATATTTGTCTACTCCTATTTCTTATTTTTGCAATTGCCTGTGAGGGAAGTATGATTGTGAGAAAGTAACTAGACAAGGAAATTAGAAATTTGAAACCCAGGTCTTTCCATTCATAATCTAAAGCCACACTGGCTCTTCTTGAATTTCATCTGAGTCATGATGAAATCATTAAGGTAGTAACAATGCATGCAAAACAAGGGAGCTGTGTTCTACCAGGAAATTAATCAGCTTAGCTAAAGAATGACTTTTTCCCCTAATATAAAACCTGACAACTACAGGTTTAATAAGCCATGAGCTAAACCAATTATAAAAAGCTAAAGCTACGTAAAAAGCAGCTTAGAAAACAGCATAATAGACTAGGTGGTAGTAATAATAACAATGTAAATACCATAAAAATAACATAATAAAGGAAAATCAAAAGAAACACAAACAAAAAAACAGATCCCAAAGCAAAGCAGCTTTTTCACCGATGTCTTGGATCTAGACCTCACCTTATTGCTGTGTGTATTTTCTCTTCTCGTTTCTTTAGCCAAAGAGATCCAGCTAATGCATAGAGCTCCAGTTATTGGCATTATTATTCTGGATGGCCAAAGTACTCCTCTTCCTGAACCACTTGAAGTAGCACATGATCTCTCCAAAAGTCCCAACATGCAAGGTTGTCATCAGCTTCTTGTAGTGTCTGAAGAACAACTTAAGGTAACCGGGTTCCCTGTATGTATGGTTTTGTACATGTGTGATTGTCTTGTTTTTTGGAATACAGCGTTCAGAGAATGTCTGGAAGTATGGACTTACTTCCTTGTCCCTTCCTTGCTTTCAAGAGACATTCAGTGACATGTATTACTAAACAAGGCTGCCCAGAGTTGAACAATCAGCCTGTAAGTTAGGAAGGTTGATTTGCACTTGGCAGAAATTCCCAATTTTATCTTGTTCGCTCGTCACGCATTCTCCACATGTGTGACTTCTACACAGGTGGAAGAATAGTTGAGTCATCATTATCTTCATTCCACCATCACCCAAAAGAATTTTAGAGAATGGATGGAAAATCGGGACCCTAAATTGAGCAGCGTCTCCATTAATATAGGAAGACCTGTGCTGGGGGTAATTTCCTTCTTCGGGAAGTTGAAGAGAACAATTATTTGAAAAGACAGGAATGCAAACAGAGCTAGTGGACTCCCCCAACTACAGAATACCTGAACCATTGTTTCATCGTTACTAGCTCTTCACTTGGCAACTTTCCCCAGTTTATATTTGATTTGATGGCTCCCTTAAAAAGAACCCCGTAGGGCGTAGGCTCAAATTGAAGGCTGTATTCTGGGGCCCTGCCAATAACAAGGTATACCCCATTTTCTGATTTTGTACGTAGAAAGATATTTGCAAGTAGTGAGAGTCAAATCCTGGCCCTGTAGAAAATTCATAAATTGCTTTCTGTAGCTTGAGGCAGCAAATCATAGCTTTTCTCACTTTGTTAAAAAAAACCAAAACAGGCTCATTTGCTAGTGAAGGAGGGAAATACTGCACTTTTCTCATTACAGGCTGACTAGTGGAGGCTTTGATGTAACTCTTCCACTAAGGAAGGAAATGATAGAATTTGTTCACGTTGGCAGGTTTTCACATTGCCCAAAGTGGTCTCCAAATTGAAGCTGAAACTCACAGCTCTGGAAGGCTCCAGGGTGCGGAAGATGGCTGTTGCCAACTTCATCAGCGCTAAGACTGAGCATAGTGAGAATGACTTGGCTGTTCTGACAAACCAGGGAGACATCCAGATTATCTCTCTGCCTTCGCTTAAAATCCAAGCTCGTTATCCCTGTATTCGCAAGGAGGATGTGAGTGGCATTGCTTCCTGTGTGTTCACCCGATATGGACAAGGTAATATGAGGATCATCCGTGAGTTACCACACTTTGGTGTGCTAGGCCTTTGAAACCTTTGAACCGATGCCTCAAGTTGAGGAGCGCAGAGATGTTTAGTCTTTGCACTTATAATACTTGGAAGGCTAAGGAAGAAGACTGGGTTGGGGGAAAGGGGGAAGAATCGTCTCCTTTTGCACTGAAACCTAAATTTAAATTGGTCTATTAACAAAGTGCTCTCTACTTTAATATTTGCACAAAAGTATTCTTTATGAGGTAACAACCCAAGGAATCAATATCCATATCCTAGTTGCAAATTTTTCATCCTTAGGACTTTTTTTTAACATACTCATTCAAAAAAGGTTAGATACTTCATTGGGATCTTCAGTAATAAAAATCAATCGAATTAGTTCAGATGTGACACTGGACGTTGATCATGTAGTCTGCTCCGTATATTCTGAATTTAAGTCTCAGGTGCACTTATTTCCAAATAGGTGTATATTCATAGCTTCCATGTATGTTAATCTGCTTAGAAGGGAGAATGTGCATATGTAGGACTTTAGGAAATAAGATCCCTTGCGTAATATCTGTCCCTCCTCAACTGGCCATTTCTCCATCATTCCCCGCAGGGTTCTATCTCATTTCCCCATCAGAATTTGAAAGATTTTCCCTTTCGCCAAAGTGGCTGGTTGAACCTCGATGTCTCATGAATGCATTGGAAAACAGAGAAAACTGCCATGGGCACAGCACATCTGGCACAGAAAAGACTTCAAAGAAATCGAAGTATGTCTGTCAGAGTCCGTTTTGTAACACAAAGTGTAACTTATTTGACAGTATGGATGGTATTTTAATAGCCTTCAGTTGTTGTTGAAGAACTCAAATCCCTAGGGAGTCTGGCCAATGGTGAACAATACTGGGATAATATTGCCCATGCATTCGTGTTGCTATAATTTTTAGAATGTATAATTCACAAGACTATGGGAAGACCTATGTCCAAAAGAGATCCATGTCTGATGTGATACAGATTTGAATAGATGTTCTTTACTCTGTATATGTTCTTTACTCTGTATATGAGCATAACCTGTCAGTGCGTCTGCTTGTCCCCTGATGTCCAATCAATTGATTTATAGGGTTTACCAGTACAAGCAGTCCTCGAGTTATGACAGCAATTGGGACTGGAATTTCCATTGCTAAGCAATGAGGTCATAAAGTGAGGCACTATATGATCATATCACTTAGCGATAGCAATCCCTGCAGTCCCTATGGCATCAAGCAAGGATTGAGGGTCATTAATTGAGCACCCCCTCACAAGGAGTGTGGGTAGCTGGCAAGACATGCCATAACCCCAGAGGAGCTTGGGGAGGGTGTTTGGATGGGTGGTGGTGGAGAATTTACCCAAGCAATTTCAGTCCTTCCTGTCAGGGAAGGCTTTGCTTGTGGGAAGCCGGCAGGGAAGGTTCCAAATCATGATTAACATGACTCCAGGATGCTGCAACCCCCGTAAGTGTGAACCAGTTGCAAAGCACCCAGATTGATCATGTAACAGCAGGGGAATGTTCTAGGTCTTCTCTTTGTAAATGTTGCAAGTTGTGACTTAAATAAAACATGGCTTGCTGTAATGCTAGGACTAAAGAGTACTGCTTGATATATCATGCTCTAAGCCAGAATTATTGAACTGTTTGTCTCACTGGCTCTTTTCCTTTTTTGAAGCAATATTAGGGAACCAAGACAAACCTCCGGTGAACCTGTTGGTGATGGTAAGTAAACTATGGTGCTTAGAACTCAGTTGCTTTTGTGTCTATCATAGAAAACGACGGGATCGTTTTTGTATCCCATAGTATGGATTGTATTGGCAATCCATACACAACTGGGTACTACACTTGCAAAAAGAATTAGCCAAAATATTTATAAAACAGTTTGGAAAACTTCATGAAAATCCCCTCCCCCACACAAGAAAGAGCTGAAACAGCAAGGAAGAAAACAGTTTATCACAATTTATCCGAAACTTCTCCCATCTGCGTGCCTAGACACACACACCTACCACCCCACACACCCTTACATACACATGCCTTCTTAACTAAGAGTTAATTTTTGGTTATTTAAATAAAACTCTACAACTATCTGGGGAATTCTTAAAGTTGTCAGATTTGAGTTGTCATATTTTAAAGTTATCACCGCTCTAGGGGCATTTAAATAAATCCCAAAACCTAGCATCTTTTGGTCTGGAAATAAATGGGGCAATAGATATTTTTTTTACTCCTTCTCATTCCTATGACCAATTCATCAGTAGGTTCAAGCAGTTGATTTACCTTATTTTTATTACAGCCAAATGCTGTTTTGTTTAACTCTTGTAAGAATAAACGGAGCCATTAAAGCATAACTACTAATACTACTACTAATATAACTGTTATTAATAGTTAATTAACAGTTAATTAACAGGTGCTAATGTCCATATCCATGCATGGTTTTGAATTTCAAAACTGGATTTTTGAATGCAGAAGCAAGTCATGGCCTAAGTCCGTGTTGCTGAACCTATGGCACGCGTGCCACAGGTGGCACGCAGAGCCCTCCCTGTGGGCACGCGCAACATTGCCCCAGTCCTAGGCCTTCAGCTGGGTTTTATAAAACCTTTTCGTTATAGGCCTCCGCTGCTGTGTGCAAAAAAAAAAAAAAGGTTGAACCAATCAGCCAATTTCAACTTCTCGTGGGAAAAAAAAAATCTCGCAAAGTTGGAATTGATTGATTGAACTTTTTAGTCCCACCCAGTCTGCCATTACCACCGCAGCCACGCCCAGCCAATGGACCACGCCCACCCAGCACCCGACGATACATAAGTGGGTTTTGGGTTGCAGTTTGGGCACTCGGTCTCTAAAAGGTTCGCCATCACTGCCCTAAGTTATTCAGTGGATTTAAGGATCTGTCAGCCATTTTAATAACTTTTAAAACATTTGTTTTTTCTTTCTCTGTTGTTGATGCATTTACACTCAAAGTCCAAAGAATTACTTGCTTTAATATTAATATGATTATTTTTTTTTAGAAAGAATGACTGGTAGGCTGATGGAACACGCCCTCCTCAATGATGAGAGTAAGAAAAAGGCTTGTGAAATGGAGTTTTGGTGGGAATTATCCTGAATGCTTTTACTAATGCAGTTTCAACTACTAGTTTTTTCACCCAAAGACATATAACTTCAATAGATTTCTTTTTGACTTGTATGTTTTAAGTGTTTAATAGATCAGACTTAATACAGGCAGTCCTCGACTTACGACAGTAATTGAGCCCAAAATTTCTGTTGTTAAGTGAGATATTTGTTAAGGGAGTTTTGTCCCATTTACGACCTTTCTTGCCACAGTTGTTAAGTGAATCACTGCAGTTGATAAGTTAATCACCTGGTTGTTAAGTGAATCTGGTTTCTCCATTGACTTTTGCTTGTGCAAAAGTCAATGTGATCAATGTGATCCAAGGTCATGTGATCAATGGTGATCACATGACCTTGGAACACAGCAGCGGTCATAAATATGAACCAGTTGCCAAGCATCTGAATTTTGATCATATGATCATGGGGCTACTACAGAAGTCTTAAGTGTTAAAAATGTTCATAGGTCACTTTTTTCGGTGCCATTGTAACTTTGAACAGTCACTAAATGAACCGTTGTAAATCAAGGACTACTTGTAATATGTCTGAGAGGACTAACAGGCATTATATTATTATAATTATAATATAATAATAATAATAATAATAATAATAATAATAATAATAATAATAATAATAATAATAATAATAATAATAATAATAATAATAATAATAAAGTTGGAAGGGACCTTGGAGGTCTTCTAGTCCAACCCCCTGCTCAGGCAGGAAACCCTATACTATTTCGGACAAATGGCTGTCCAGTCTCTTCTTAAAAACTTCCAGTGTTGGAGCATCCACCGCTTCTGGAGGCAGGTTGTTCCACTGGTTAATTGTTCTAACTGTCAGGAAGTTTCTCCTTAGTTCTAGGTTGCTTCTCTCCTTGATTAGTTTCCATCCGTTGCTTCTTGTCCTGCCTTCAGGCGCTTTGGAGAATAGCTTGACTCCCTCTTCTTTGTGGCAGCCCCTGAGATATTGGAACACTGCTATCATGTCCCCCCCTCGTCCTTCTCTTCATTAAACTACTAGACATACCCAATTCCAGCAACTGTTCCTTATATGTTTTAGCCTCCAATCCCCTAATTATCTTTGTTGCTCTTCTCTGGCCTTTTATGTGTGGTGTGTACTTGCATCACATAGTTTCTAGCTGTCATTCATAATTCAATTGCTAATATATATGCTTAAAAACCACATTTACTCTATTTCTGTTCTGGGCACAATGGTCAATACCACATCTGTGAAATGGATAATGATAACCTGCCTAACAAAACAGTTTGAGAGAGGTCTCAGTGTACAGAGCATTCTGCAGCTCCAGAATGTTATAAGTAGATATTTCTATATTTCTTCCAGGCTATGATGATATAGGCACCTATATTTCTCACGACTCATTTTTTTCCTCTCCTTTCAGATGTTCTGAAGGAAATCCAAAGCACTCTGGAAGGTGGGAGAGGGTGAGTATGATACGCCCATATTTGTGATGACCATTAAGGAATTAATTTGGTAGATCACGAGTTCAGATATAGTAATGGAAAGGGGATAGCACAGGAGAGATCTATAATATTTTTTGGTATTTTTGGAGATAAAACATTCTGAAGGAAGAGGGATGTTACCATTCGGATTCTAATTACACAGCCTTTAGCCAATTTGGATGTGATGCATGTATTTTTGGTTTTATGAAGAGCTTTTAAGTGGTAATAAGTCATTTTTTAAGACTTATAAACTAAATCTTCCTTTTGATAGCTAGAGTATGAAATTGAATTGTTTCGTTTTTGAGGAGAGTGTCTTTCTTAAATAGTAAATAAATTTGCTTAGAAATGGGAAGTTGCATGTGTGTATGATATATCCATATTGTGTGTGTATCCAATTAGAACAAAAATTGAAAGTTGATTGGTATTGTATGAATTTGGTTTTTTAATTTTCCAATGAATTCAATTTGTAACATTGGAGAGAGAATTCTTTTTAGAAAGACAGCTGCATTTTGTCCCAAAGGTGCCTTTCCAAAAGGCAACTGGACTTTCTGGGTTTTTCTCTTTGAAAATGTTTTGCTTCTTGGATAAGAGATAATCACCGGTGATCTGGATGATTGAGAGTCTCCATAGACACAGCTGCTTTTTCTGACTCAAAGATCCATGAAATGCTGTTGCAATGTATTACTTGCATGTATGTTTGCTTGGAAAGAAACTGCCACTATATACTGAATATAAAAATGATATGACGTAAACTGGCTGTCTCATAATCTCCTGTTTTTCATTTTTTGTTGTTTTTGGGTTTTTTTTTTTTTTTTGGTAGGAGTTACTATAATAGAAGTTCAGGAAGAATCCAAGTAGGGCATACGTTAAGTAATGGAGGAGGTAAGTTGACTTTATATTTTTACTTGCAGTAGGTATTGAAACATAATAAACTGTGGCTTGTTATAAAAATATATTGCTTCCTACTCTTTATTTGGGACTACTGAACAATCTTATAAAAAAATTCCCCTTTAACTTGAATAGAAAACCACTAGAATAATAATAATAATAATAATAATAATAATAATAATAATAATAATAATGATGATGATGATGATGATGATGATGATGATGATGATGATGATGATGATGATGATGAAAAAAATTTGGAAGGTACCTCGGAGGTCATCTAGTCCAACCTCCTGCACAGGCAGGAAACCCTATACCATTTCGGACAAATGGCTGTCCAGTTTCTTCTCATGTTAGCAAACTAGAATTGCATGTAGTTTGAATTTTTCCCAATAATTTCATCATGGTTATTAAAATTAATAAAACTAACAAACCTAATACAAAAATATATATATAAAAAAGAAAGTGTGAAAAGTAAGGGGGAAAAAATCCCTCCAAGATAGTAAGAAAAAGAAACTTTCCTCTTCATCCATAGCAAACATATTCAACATTAACAATTTATGACTGTCTCTTAACCAGATACACATCTTCTTTCTATACTTCATCCCATTGTCTATAAACTTATCTCTAAATTGCAGGATCCAATTTGGGTCATCTCTAAATCTTCAGCTCTCTTTATTGATCAATAAAGGTCCAATAAAAATAAAATAAAAAAATAACATGTATAAAACCCCTTTCCATTTATTCTATATTCTCTTAACAAACATTAAAAAAGAATAATAAAATTGAAAGCTATGAGATATTACCAGAAATAACCCCTTTACATATCTAAAAATGATAACATAAATATTACAAATTGAACATTTTCAAACCAGATAACCATAAAATATCACCAAAGATAGCAAATCATTATTTAACTACAGCCAAATAAACCAATTTTGTAGGATTTTTCCCCCTTATTTCTCCCAGCCATCCTTAAGTCCCATAGATAAAATTATAACTCCAGTTTTCTTATAGTCTCTTTGCTTCTTCTCTTGAAGTTCTTATCTGTACCCAAGTCCATATGTAATTTCTATGAAGTTAACTCCAATAAATCTCTCACATTTCTATTTAAAAGAATAGTTCACATTGCTCTTAGGGTACATTGTTTGTATGCCATTTTTTATTTTTAAATGGTCATCCAATTCCTACTTGTAAATCCAGCATTTCCATCTCATTTTTGTAATTTGTAAATTTTAATAAGTCCACCTTGCAGTCCAGTCTGTTGTCTTCAAAGGAGTTTGCTCATTTTCAGTAGCAACTTTTAGTTCCAGTAAAGAGTTAAAAAGCTCAAGGACTTCATATGCCCACACGTTAAATGTTTTCCTATCATGTGCTTTAGTAATAGACCTTCAGAGTCTTGCTTTGTACTGAAATGTAAACAAAACAGACTTTTCCTCCAGAAAAGGGTCTTTCTGATTAGTTTCAAAGTCTTTCTTTAAACCAGTTTCCTGAAGCATTAGCATTTAAACTCTAAAAACTCTAAAGCCACTTCTTTGCAAAAAGTTATAAAAATAAATAAATATTTTACAAAGCTGAAAAGATGTGGTTTTCTTTTTTTAAAAAAAAAACTCAGCCAGCAACTTGTAGGCTTGCAGTTCTGAAGGTTTTTCAATCTTAAAGAGGCAGTCCAAAAATATTAAACTCCAGAGTGGTTAAAAAGATGAGGTTTGGTCATGCCTTGAATCCATGAAAGGCTGCATTTAAGGCTCAGGGCACGATGGAACCTGCAACTCCCAGTTAATTGCCATTCTGCCATCTGCTCACAAAAATCAGATGTTGAGTACATATTTATTAGTAAAATTTATATGCTGTTATTCTTCCCAATAAGGAATAGATGCGCATCTCCAGAGCAATCTTTATTCCAGAGAAAATTTCAACAGTCTGGGGCTCACATCCAGCTGCCTTTTCAGTTATAATGCCCCTGCAATATGCACAAGAATGGAGAAAAATGTGGGCACCAACTTACCTTGCTTCATTGAAAGCCTGGATTGTGTCCTGATCTTTTTGTAAAAAACATTTATTAAATTTTCACAATATAAATACAAATGAAAATAAAGACAGTAGGAAAATGGGAAAAGAAAAAAGGGGGAAGAGAGACATGTAGGGTAGGGAGAAAAAGAAGAAAAATGTGTTAACTTCCAACTTTGCTCAGAGCAGCAGAATAAAAATAATAAGGTACAGCCTCGCTTTTTTCATATTTAATATACTAGCCATTTCTATAACAAAAGATGTGTCTAATCAGCAAATCCTAAAGTCAAATTTTCATTTTTTTTCCTCTCTGTCTTCAGTCTAGAAGCAGTTTCCAAGTAGAAACAAAACTGGACGTATTTTTCAATTAAAGCATTTGATTCAGCGATCCCTGTTAGCTCCATCAGTTTCTCCTTCCATTCTTCCATAATCCCCATGGATACATGGGGATTAATGTATCTTTCCATTTTTATGCATAAAGAATTCTTGCTGCAGTCAGTATATACAGCAACAAAGTCACAGGTGTTGTTGTTTTTTTAGTTCCTTGTCCGGTTACTATGTCCTGATATCTTGATGGAAACCTTAATCTTGTTTTATGCAGGACAAGAAAAGTCTGTTCTTAAAACCTATTTTGCTCTTGAAAGACAGCCTTGTCATGACAATTCTTGACATTATGGTTGTCAAAAAGACCATTCAGTATTTTTTTTTCAGACTCTTATTTCTCTTCAAATGAATGGTGAGGATTTATTTCTCATTTTCCTCCTATATTCTTTTTCTCCCTTTAAGACAGACTACTGGGAACCTAGCCAGAGTTTACTACAAAACCCAACATACTAACACAGCGTTTTGGCCCTCTTTTTTCCTTCTGGGAAGAATAGCTTGGCTTCTTTCTCAGAAAGGCCTAGCAACAGTAGAACACTTTTAGCTGGAGCTGCAGGAGAGACGGGGTTGGCATTTCTTGGACTTTCTTACTATCTCAGTCCAATTAGAAACTACTGGATGAATAAGACACCATTGTGTAAATAGAAAGATAAGTTACGATAGAGAATTTGAGCTAGGGGGAAATACCAGTAAGTAGTATATAGATCAGTGGTGGCGAACCTATGGCACGGGTACCAGAGGCGGCACTCAGAGCCCTCTCTGTGGGCACGCGTGCCGTCGCCCCAGTCCTAGGCCTTCAGCTGGGTTTTATAAAACTTTTTTGCTTTAGGCCTTCGCCGCCATGTGCAAAAACAAAAAAAAGGTTCAATCACTCAATTTCAACTTCTGGCGGGAAAAGAAAAGGTCTTGTAAAGTTGGAATTGATTGATTGAACTTTTTAGTCCCACCCAGCCTGCTGTTACCACTGCAGCCACGCCCACCCAATGGGCCACACCCACCCGGCACTCAACGATGCATAAGTGGGTTTTGGGTTGCAGTTTGGGCACTCGGTCTCTAAAAGGTTTGCCATCACTGATATAGATTATTTCTGTCCCAGATCTTTAAAATCTACAGATATTAAATTCACTGCCTAGCCCAAGCTAATTATTCACTTGTGTGGTCATCACTGGCTCAAATCAATTCAGTGTTTCATTAGTCAACTGACTGTATAAACTAGCTAGAAATCATGGCACTTCTAATCCATTACATCTGGTGATTGTACTAGGTTGGCAAAGACTGCTGTAAATTGAATAATGATATGTTAAGTCTTTTGAGTTATGTAGAGTAACTGCTTTTTTCTTTCCAACAGAATGATTGTGCCTTGGCGTGTCGTTTGTGAGGTTTGGGCATTTAAAAGGAGTGCCATAACACTACGGTCATAGGTACACCATCGTCAGGTCTGAGAAGCATCCCCTGGTCAGGGCTTCGGATAAAATTGAAGGGCTGCATCCTTTTTCCTCATTGTGCCTCACCTGAAGCTCGTACCTATCTTGAGTTATCCACCTTGTGAAGAGGCTGGAACCACTCTAGTCTCTTCCTTTTTATGCCTCTGGATCTGTGTTTTGCAATTTTTCAAGTGTTTGCACAATTTATTTCCTTTTTAAATATATATATATATATATTTGTACTGGGATGGGTTTTAAATTATAAAAATTACTGTTTTGGAAGCAGACTTTAAGAATAAGTACTGCTTCCACTAAGATTATTTTTTGTACATTTTTAAAATAATAATGGGTGTTTAATAGAGGCATATTTTAGAAGTGTGCTTTTTAAAAAAATGATTGAAATAATATATGTCACTTTAAATCCCTGTGGCTGCTCCAATGAAGTTTTTGTCGTATTACAGTACTGTTAAATGCTTTGGCAGACTGGGTAGATTATTTTTGTAGCTGTTCAGATGTGAGCAAACTAATCAAATTTAACTTGATTTGTATGGGAACACTACATTAATTTTTCTTGAAATAAAACAGTACCTTTATTTTTTTCTTGTGGCCAAGATGTTTTGTGATACTATCTTTATTTACAGTCTCTGAAATGTTTAGAATATCTATAAATTCTAAATGCTTGATTTCCCCCCCATATTTTGCTATCCTTTTAACTTTAGACTTAAAATCATCAAAATCATTCCTTCACAAGCAGTTTTGCAAAATCCTTTTTATATAGGCAATTTCTCCACACACTGTATATTTTAAAGTACATCCTTCTCACTTTGAAGAGATGCTATAGACCAAATATAGCCCCTAAGCAAGTTTTCATTACAATCATTAATGCATTTTTTCTATGTAATTATGAGTCCTATTACAATCCATTGAAAGTAAATCTAATCCAGTAAATTCCACATAACTATCCTGACTGAATCTTTGTCAGTTAACTTTACTTCCGAGTTCTGTGCAAAGGATTATATAATATAGTGCTTCTCTAGGACCGTGGTGGCGAACCTCTGGCACGTGCCACAGGTGGCACACAGAGCCCTCTCTGTGGGCACGCGTGCTGTCACCCCAGTCCTAGGCCTTCAGCTGGGTTTTATAAAACCTTTTCATTTTAGGCCTCCGCCGCCGTGTGCCCCCCCCCAAAAAAGATTCAATCAATTTCAATTTCCCACGGGGGAAAAAAATCTCGCAAAGTTGGAATTGATTAATTGAACTTTTTAGTCCCACCCAGTCTGCCGTTACTACTGCAGCTACGCCCACCCAATTGGCCACGCCCACTCAATGGGCCATGCCCACCCGGCACCCGACGATACATAAGTGGGTTTTGGGTGGCAGTTTGGGCACTAGATCTCTAAAAGGTTCGCCATCACTGTCCTAGGACAAGTCTGTCAAAGGTAACATGCCACGATACTTTGGGGACATGCTAGTGTTTACCAACACCCAACAACTATTCTTGTATGCCCACCCCATTCTCATGTGATATTTGGAGGTTTCAGAGGTCGCCTGAGAAGGCCATGCTCTTATGAGCCTCGGCCCTCTAAAAGTTGTTTAGGAATGGGCTTTGCTTTTGTGTAGTTTTCCGAGGCTGCAGAGGCCAGGAAAGATCATTCTCTGAAGCCACTTCAAGAAATGAAAGCCTTGTGTGAGCAGCCTCAGGTAGGCCACAGGGACTTGTGAACAAAAAGAACGTTGTCTGGAAGTAAGCTGCGCACGGCAGATCCTGGAGATCATGCACAGTTGGACTGTATTTTTTAAAATAAATGAACACGTAAAGAATTGTTTCTCTTTAGTTTCAGGACAGCGTGTGACATGCCAACAGAGTCAAGTTAGGCATTTCTGAAATGTTGACATGTCAAGCCAAAAACATTTGCCATCACTGCTCTAGAGAAAATAGTATTGGTATGTTGAACAATGACCCAAATTATTCTTGCAAGACTTGAGAGACATAAATTACGATCTGAGGTACAAGACAAGGTGATTCCCATTTCCTGTGGTCCAATGAACTTTAATAAACACCTCATCAAATGACTAACAACTAGTCTTGCTCAAGACTTTGTTATAACCTATTTCAATGAAATATAGTTGTAGTCTTCCTTGTCTACTTCAAAGGGCTGCTGTCAGTCTTGCAAGTCTAATTGTGCTTTTCTTCCCGTTTGTATTCTGGTGAATCGGAATGGAGTTTGCCTCTTTCCAATACTACCTTGCTTCCCAGAATTCCTAGGGACTATTTCAGCCCTCTTTATACGATGGTTCCTGCATAGGGAGTAGGGACTGGAACTATTAAAATAATACAAATAAAATTCAAGTAATATCAAAGCTGAATATGTTAACTGATGAAAAGCAACTTAAAGGGGGAATTTGAAATCATAGGCAAATATATTCATTTTTTCTTATATCCACTGTGAAAAATACATGCCACTGCTCCTCTCTCTAGAAAACAATTATTTCTCAGATGAAACAAAGTGAAAGGTTGAAAATCTCAGAGGTACAGCCTCTGATTTGTACTCAATCTCCTAGAATTGCTGGGCTTCAGACTACAGTCTGAAAACATGAGCTAGTACAGAATTAAGCAGGTATAAGGGACATTTTACATGTTCTTATTTTAGAATACAAGATCCTTTTCCTGGCCAAACTTAGAAAAAAGTATTGCCAAAAAAAGTCAATTGCACATACAACAATGGACAAGTGTGTGGTTGTGTCACATGCTATATACACAAAGTAGTGACATCCTACATTTCTACAATATCCCTCATACTCTGAAATAATCCCTGTGGGTGTGCATGTAAAAATGGACCATCCAACTTCACTGTTGATGGAGCCACGCTGTGGATAGAAGTGTTTTTCAAAATATCTGTTTTGGCAGGTGGAAATGGGAGAAAATAAATAATATCCAATTTCTAAAGCTACTAAGAATTACTGAAAGACAATTTCAATTACATACTTTAAAAAATTTATTTCAAAAATACAAAAGTAACGTCTTACATTAACTACTGTAAAATAACTAATATAGAGATTTTATTTATCATTTGGAAGATTTGTTAAAAAGCTTTGGTCTTAGGCACATCTAGCATAGCATGCAGCCAACTTAATGGCAAATCTTTTAGAGGCAGCCATGACAGTATCTTTTCTTTGGTGGCAGATGGATATTTTGAGAGAAATTCATAGATTCTATGTTTGCCACCATAAGATTAGGTAAGGGAGAACTTCTGTTCAAGCTCAGTTGCTGATGTTGCTTGGCAATTTTTCCACCAGCCTCTTGGGAGGTAGAAACATCTGTGTTCCTGGCAGGCAAAAAGCCCTCAGCACCTGAATGGATTGGACTGTTCTTCCTATCACAACTTTGTTTTAATTTAGGATTAAATCTGCGATAAAAAGATTCCACTTCAGGGAGGTCAGCAAGATTGGTCATTGACATGGTATCTACCAGGTGATTGTATGCCGGCGGGACTGGATTTCTTGCATGCTTCTGCAATGGCGGTGATGCCTCTTTCTTCCACACCACCACATGCATCTTTCGGTGAGGTGGCAGCAATCTAGGCCTCTTCCGTGCTGGAGACTCCATCAGTAAATCAGAAACGCAAATCTGTAGGAGTTCCTCTTCAACACTTGTCATGGATCCACTTGGCACATTCTGGTCTGTAACATCACAGTTGCTATGCTGAGATGCCACAGCATCTTGCGGTGGGCAGTGTTCACCTACACATACAGCCCCAGGAGTTGGATGCATTTGCTCTGGAGGAAGAGACATTACTTTCACAAAGTAAACGGCGTTTTCATTGTGTTGCAATGAGGCCCTTGTTTGTAAATCTGACAGGGCCTTGTTGTTCCTTGTCTGCTTCTCCTGGACAGAAATATCAACTGCCGACTGAGATGCTACTGTTTGAGAATACAATATGGGACATGGCTGGAGTTTCAGCTTTTCATTCCATGCTTGAAGAAACTTCTCCCTGCAAGATTTTGGCTTTTCTGTGTCATTGGGATGCACGGCCATCTTATCTTTTGTGGCTGCTGAATCCGTAAGAGTTTCTGAGATTTAAAGATTGAGATAGAAGTGAAAGTCAATGAAAAGAGCTTTCTAATATGTAATTTGCTAAAGGGTGGTACTTCTAGTATTTTCCCTCACCTCCAGGTCTCTAATTGATGTAGGAATAGCTGTAGTGTTGCCTGGCAACACACATTCTAGATCTCACAGGCCTGGAGTAAGCTTCGTGGCCTAAGCCATGGAAGCTGTAGCAGTTGGGACAAAGATCCAAACTTTCCAGGGTCATAAGCATTCTGATGTCCATAATTTGGAACAAATGATCAGTTAATTTGGGCCAGGAGGCACTTTTTACATGGAATCTATCCCTAACCAAAGCTGCAGCTGGGAAACCTTGAATATCTTGTATGTGTTTACAAGCAGTGTTTTTCAACCTTGGCTGCTTAAAGATGTGTGGGCTTTAATTCCTAGAATTCCCCAGCCAGTATGCTGGCTGGGGAATTCTTGACACTGAAGTCCACAATATCTTCAAGCTGCCACGGTTGAGAAATACTGGTTTACAGTGCAACAATGCACCCAAGAAATCAAAATTGTTTTCCTTTCCAATTATATGCTATCGTAGTCCTCCTGTGGCTGCTCACAGAGAAGAGAGCCCTGATCTTGCAGAAGCCACTCCCAATCTGCTGCCCTCTTGACATACTGGACTTTTATCAAATGCCATGCTGGCAGGGAACTGTGGGAAATCCAAAGCAGGTTACCAGATTGGGAAAAATGGCGTATCATTTGCCTGATTCCACTGCATCAAACAGAATTGGGAGGTCATAATTTCATCCTCAGATTCTACTGACTTTTGGATTTGATATAAAGAAGCAAGGAGGCAATGTATAGATCTTTTGGAGAGACCCTACTTACCAAGCCTTTTCAAATATAAGATCCTTCTAATATCATAGGCAGTTGCAATGTTAATTGCATTCATAAGCTGGTGTTGATTAAGCAACCAGATCTGCCCTGCAAAAATCCGGGTAACCACTAGATAGCAGCAGAAAACCCTGCTGGCTTCCTTTTATTTATTTATTTATAAAGCAAAGCCCTTTCAAATTTTTTGCTTTCCTTCTACAGTAAATGTGCCTGTTCTGCATCTAGACTTTTTTTTTTTTGCTTTGAACTTTGTGACCCTTTTCATGATTTTAGACAGTTTTGATATTTGTATTATCAGATGGGCTATTTCATTCTTCCTCTTGATGGAAATCTAATAAATAAGAAGACCTTTAAACAAATCCCACTAACAGTTCTATAAATTTGGGTCTTCCAAATTTGGTACAGTGATTAAGGTACCAGGCTAGAAAACAGTGGACCATCAGTTCTAGTCCTGCCTTAGGCACAAAACCAGCTGGGTGACTTTGGACCAGTCACTCTCACCAGCTTTAAGGAGGAGACAAGGGCAAATCTTGCCAGAAAAACTGCAGGGATTAGCCTAGGCCACAGGTAGGCAACCTTGGCTCTTTTATGACTCGTGGACTTCAACTCCCAGAATTCCTGAGCCAGCACAACTGGC